GGGACGAGTGTTCGAGTCCCGGCCCCGGCAGAAAGGAGAATTAGAGGGATCGCTCACTGACGTTTTAACTTAAAAGTAAAAAGCAGAGCACCGGTACCGGGCGCCCCTCCCGCACCGGTGAAGGCGCAGAGGAAGCTTTAGGGGTGTGGAAAAAATGCTGGTGCTTCCCTCGGCACAGGGCGAAAGCTTCACTGCCCCATCGCCCCGGTTGGTTTTTGGGCAAGACCTCGGCTGTTGTCTCAGAAAAAGTGATATTTTTTATTTTTTTTTTACTCCCTTAGCAATAAATATTTTAGAGGGAAGATCGACCAAGACAAACTGTTTCCTGGCAGAAAGCATTCCCTTTGTCTAAAAGCTGCCAGTATTGGCCTCTGTTGAGTAGAAGCACAAAAGGCCCATTGCTGCTCACCACCAGGCTGTGCCAAAGCATCGATATCCCCCCCACACCGCATCGATATCCCCCCATGGCAGCGCTATTCCCCCCCCTCGCATCGAAGGTCTGTGATTTTCACTCCCAGCTCCACCCTGGCGTTGGAGCACTGCGCAGGTCACGACGGGGCGCGTTCTGCACACAAGGCACAGACGCACTGACCCACCTCCACATCTCATCTTTAACGCCCGCGCACAGACAGCTCAGACCGCTTAAAACAAAGATGCTGCCACAAGAACTGAAAACGCTGGGACTCATACCCGAACGTCCTATGATGGTCTCCTCCATCCACACAGCTTTCGTGTCTCACAAAACAACACACCGGACTTGGATTTTTGCCATCGCTTCTTTATTTTGGGAAAAATATACAAATTAGTTCTAAATAAACACCCATCCCCTCCTTTAAACAGACTGTTAAATTTGACTGCCCAAACAAAATGTGCTTATACTCCTTTTTCCCCTACAGACACAGCATCTATAAAACCAAGAAATATATACAGTGCTTTGATAATTCCCTGCAATTCCTGTGAGTGAGAACAGTTGAAATAGCTGCATACTCTTGAAATACCAGTCCAAAACTGCAGCTGGTCATACATACAAAAGTGGCAAGTTTTGCCTGTGCCCCATTCACCTTTTTTTTTTTTTTTTGTTCTTCATTTTTTCAAACCACTAAAGAACAGTATTGCAAAGAGGCACCGCAAAGGGATGTGTGTCCGTTCACACCGCACCCCTGCAGACATTCAGGATTGCCCTTCCTAGGAACAGGCTGAGAGATGAGACCCTTCCAGGTACACCGTGTGCCTACTCACCCTCTTTGGGAGACAGCAATTTGCAGATCAGCACAAGTGACATTCCACTTACAAATAAGAAAAAAGAACAAAAGAGGTATTTGCCCCAGTTTCCAAAGAGAAAACCAAGGCAAGCCAATACTGGAGCCCAAAGAAAAGGCATATGCGTTGTGGGACCATGATGTGTGTGGCCAGAAAGGACAAATTATTACATAGCAAACACAGCTTGTATGCACCGATGACAAGCAAAGCCAGCAGCTTTCCCCGAGCAAACGGAGCAAATAAGGGCTTGCCAATAGCCAACGACTGCATCCCTGAGCAGCCCTGTCAACAGGCCATGAGCTTTTTCTTTTTTAAAGTTGCTATTTGAAGGATACAAGGACTAAACACTAAACGAACCCCGCTGTATTACACAAGGACACTGCAGGTGCAGAACAGCCTCCTCCCCCGCCCTTTCAGACACCTAACCTGCTTCGGTCCAACTCACCCAAAAATACGTATAAATTATTACATTATGTCAACAGACTCTGTTGAAACTGGAAGGTACCTCTCCCGGAGAGGTTATTTTAGGAGTATTTAGGATATCATTTAAAAACAACTCACATTTTTTTTTCCCCCCACCAACACACAGTGATAACGGAATAAATCCACTTTCCTTTCATTAAAGAGCAAGTTTTCCCTTTGGAGTGGTACTAGTTTCTTAATTCTGCTATTTATAAAGATGATTAAGTTTGGTATTGCCACTTTCTCCAACAGGAAAAAAAGCGATAGGTAGATGCCAAGGAAATGGAAGAAGAAACGAATAATAGATACTGATGGTAGATCTGTAGTTCTTGACAATGTCAAGCTCCAAACTTCTAATGGAAAACCAAAGTATAGCTGGGACAGGGTTGGAGGAGGCAGAAGAGGGAGGAAGCACTGGAGTCAGAGCAGAAGACGCAAACATTTGACAAATCAGGGACCTTTAAAGGAAGTCCAATCTCTAAACCACATCTTCATTCTCATTTTGCTAAGCCTTCCTCAAGCTGGCCTGACGAGTCGTTGTGGATGGCGTGCCAGCGCCAAAGCTAGAAGTGCTCAGACAAGAGTCAGAAAAGTCAGAAGTATTTGCTGAGGAACAACATGCTCTAACAGCAAAAGGGTGACCAAAGATGACGCCAAACATGCAGGCAGTTGGACAACCTCTCCAAGAAACCACCACCAGCGCTGAGGCTCAGACCCAAGCAGTGAAGACCTTGTCCGAGCAGACATTCCCATTATTGGCCTTCGCGTGGTCCCAAATAAGATGGTGAACGTGACATGGAGGCAGAAAGATGTTTGATGAGGTAAAAGGCAGTAGCACCTCCCTTCTAGAAATAGTAAAAAAAGACTTTTTTTTCACCTGTATGTGGACATTTTAAACTTTTTTCTCCTTTTTCCCCAATAAAACCTGCAAACGATACAAGCACAATCATCAAAAATACCAAGTCTGCTCAAAAAAGCTCTTAGGATTTCATTTCCTCGTATACAAGCCCGTTAAACTTCTGTAAACAGGAGTTAAAAACTGGAATCCGATACTAGCCCCCTTTCCCCCCCAGTACAGAATTATCACACACGCACACACACGCGCACAGGGTACATGCTATGTTCCCCTTTTACAGATTAACTGTTAAAAAAGGGATGATTGTTCTAAGCCACAGAGACTTGTGAGGTCTGGCTCTCATGGAGACGCCATTTTCCTCTACGGTTTTTACCTGATTTGCAAGGCATAGCTCTACTGCTCCCATACATTCATTACAAAACAAAAAAACCCAGTCTTTTAGGGCGAGCCTAAAAAACCTGGACTTGTCGTTCCCAGACCCACAGGTCAGTTCTTGGCCGTTCGGAGCTTCCTGCGGAAATAGTCAGGCGCTGCATCATACAGCCAGTCCGCATCCACCACGCACAGGTCCCGCATGTAGCACTTGTTGGTGTGAAGCAGCCCGTTGTAAACCACGCAGGCTGGCTTGCAGTGGAAGAGCACGGAGGAGGGGTGGATGGCCACCAACTGGTGAGTGTCCACGGTACTGTAGGTGCCGTCCGGCTGCAGCTCGGCGGCGTTCATGAAGAGGCTGTGAGCCAGGCAGCGGCGGATGTTTCCAGTGTCCGAGCGGGAGGACTCGATCGGCATCGATAGCTGTTCAGCAGCGAGAGACACAAGAGTAAGCGCAAGCGTGTATGCGCGCCCTCGTGGGGAAACACAGCCCCGTTTTAGGGGACGTCCAAGATCAGGCGATATTGTGTCAGAAATCCTGCTAGTGTGGGAAATATAAAAGGACCACTAGGAATTCAGCTCAGGTAGATGTTAGGCTAATCCAGGCTAATAGCAAATGAAAGATGAACCGCAAAATGGATCGAGACTCTCCTTCTGAGAGTAAGTTTTAGGCTACCTAGCATTTGCCGCGGGACAGGGTTGCCCAACAGTGGCTCCTGTGTCACGTACAGACTGCAAGGAATTCAGCAGCAGCTCCCACGCTGTGCCTTACGCTCTGTGACTGGCAGGAACAGCGCTGGTGTGCAAGCTGCTGTGAAATTGAACGCCTGATTCCATGAAGAAGCCAGCCAGCACGGGCTGCTGAGGCTGACATCACTCAGTGGCGCACATAGCATAGTCACATTTACACTAGAGCAGCAAAATCCCTTAGGAAAAACTTCCCTCTACCCAAGAAGCTTTCCCAGAGCTCCCTTCTCTCACCTCTCCTTGTCCCACTGAGCCCTGCAGCCCGGAGATTTGGGGATGCAGCGACAGAGTCAGGAATTTTACCTGACTATTCACGGGAGACTGAAAACAAAACCACATTTTCTCACTCCTGGGACTTGGTGCACAGCAAAATCAGTTTGGGGACAAACAGAAAAACACAAACAGGAGAAGCAGTATGGCATACAGTATGGCAACCAATTACCTTTACACAAATGTCCCTGAGCTGAGCTCTGACATCTGACACAAGCATCATGTTCCTGCCATTGACAAAGTTCTCTTTGCACCATTCCTGCAAGCAGAGAGACATCAGGAGTTAGAAGGAGGCGTTTCTTCACCCAAGCAGCACAACAGTCTTTGGGTACCATAAAAAGCAGAATCCTCCAAACACACAATCTTTCTCAGAGAAAAGGTGCTAACCCATTTCCTTGTCATACTTCTACCCGATTACTCCCCTCTGTCTACGTTCCCTCCCACAGCACCAAGAAACGGCATGTTGTTCTCTTCCCACTCAGAATTGCCCTGCAAGGTCACCGAGTGCTGCGAAACAGCACTTCCTATCCCACAGGTGGTGAAAACAAATGAGGCAAGAATGACAGATGCTGCAAGGAATGGGGTACACGAGTCTCCACATCTACAAATCAAATTGAGGAGTTTATAGGGTAGGATAAATCAAAATCTGCTTGTAAATATGCTCAGTGTTTTTGCAATGAAGCCTGCCAAACAGCACATCTAGGGTATTTATCAGCAAGTCTCAACACTCTCCCACTCCATCCTGTTTCCAGCTGGAACCAGGGAAGGAAGAGACCTGGCTCTGATTACAGAACTGGCCTCATGAAGCTTTTGATAACCAGTTTTGCTACAGCTTTCTGGGGGATCCTTCAGCACTTGAACAGCTTTCTCCAATTACCAAATTGCAAAGGATGAGTAAGTCCTCTCTTCTCATTCCTTTGGAAGGATGCGTATTGCATCAACCGCAAAGGATGCAGATGTCACTCTGCGGCATGCCAAAAACACTCCTCCCCATCACGAGCCCAGACAGCACTGGCGTCCTCAGAGCATCCTACCTTATTGCCACTGACATTTCTGAAGGCCCTGTACATGTTGAGCAGGGTAAGATGATCTCCCTCACTGGAGATGAATTTCTTCCTGACGGACTGCACTTCATCCCGCCGGGCGGGGGGATTATAGAGGACACTGTCCACTGATAACAGCGACACGATGGTCAGGATCTCTTCTGTACAGTGGAACTTCGGGGACAGGAGGATGGTCTGCAAATCACAGAACAAAACTGATTTTTGGTTGACCAAATCCACTTCAGATGAGCAGACTTTTCTGCTCACCAGCAGCCCAGGAACTTTACCAAGCATTGTTTAGGACAATTTCATAAACATTTGGCCTAGAGACAACTGTAAATCATCTTATGGGCCTACCAAGCACCTTTGACAGCCACTGTCATGCTCTTTCCTGAGACTGGCCAGTTCATATACAGTACAAACATGCCGACTAACATCAACTATAGCATCAGACACTTCATGAAACTACTAAACAGTGCTAGCAGCGATCCCGGAAATTGCAAGGGAATTAGCCTTGTTTCAGCTTCAGAGGTGCCAAAAGAAAGAAATTATCTTTTAAAAAATCCCTGTGAATTAAACAACAAGTGCTAAGCAAACCCACACAGTTGCTGGAAATAAAGCTGTGCTTCATTAACGTACTGCAAATATACTAGTACAGCTCCAGTCGCCCCAAATTCCAAACCTTGTTTAAGGAGTTGGAAAGAGAAATGCCAATGGTACTGGGAAGAGCACGAGATAAAAATTAACTAATTTTTCTGTAGTTTTTACTTTAGAGAACTTTGGTTCTAGTGGAAAGGCTGCCATCTTCCTTCCCAGGGGGGTCAGGACAAGCTGATCTTCCTTTCGTTCCACAGCTCCCAGCAGCTCCAGCTGCTCAATCGCTGCTTGAATAGCATCTGTCAAAACAAGAAGGTTCAGATTGTGAGGCCTCCTGGCTGACGCTGGAAGGGATGTGAAGGATCAGCTGGTACCATCACTACCTCCTTCCCCTGGCCAGAGGGACAAGTACTTTCTGTTTAGAGAAATTAGTGCCCCAAACTATGGTTTATACCCCTCTATCCAGTAGAAATATGACCTTTTCCAATTTAAGTAGCAAAACCAGGGGCAAAACTAAAGCTGCCATCTCTAGCTTTCAGCAGAAGCTGCACAAGATTCTCTATGCCTTTCCTTGGCAGTTAAGGCCCACCTTCGTGTTCTTTATGACTCAAAACTGCTCCCTGCTCCATTTGGAAGCTGGACTCCCCAGCTCTCTGCCCTAGCCATGGCTGTTCT